CGAACGTCCCACGGGTCGCAGCCACTGGTGACCACAGGACTGCACGGGACGTCATCCTCAACAGCGGCCAAAGTGATGGGAGGTGCAACAGCCACCTTGGGTCTGGGGGGCTCTCGGGACTGAATTATCCCCCAGGACTCACGGACGATTTCCCTGGGACAGGGCAAGTCTCAAGAGGCGCCTGCCCCCACGTGAGGCCGGTAGGGCCGGAGGGAACAACTGGACAAGCCAGACATCTGTGAGGCACACGGGGCATGGGGCGTGGCAAACTTGTGGCTGAGAGGAGACGACGCCCCAGCACCTGCACCAACCCACCCATCCTGGGGCCCTGGCACCCCAGTGTCATACCTTACCCCCTGCCCCTGCAGCCTTCCCCCTGTGCCCACCCTCCCTCAGCACCCCCCCCGGACCCCCTCACCCTGGTGCTCCCACCCCCTGCGGTGCCTCATCCTGCCCCGGCTGCCCCCCCTCCGGCTTGGTGCTCTCCATCCACCCTGGCACTCCCCACCCAGCCCTGACACCACCTCCACCCCATGTCACTGCTCGCCTCCCCCTGGTGCCGCCCTCATGTCCTCCCCATGAGGGGCAGAGGCACTGGGATCTGGGATACACACCCAACCCAGGGAGTGAGATGATTTTCCAGATGTCAGGTTTTCTGACAACCCGGGTGGGCTGCACGCCAGCTGGGTTCCACGTGCCGTGGAGGGGCCCGACGGGTTGTGACACTGGCAGTGGCATCAGCATGACCCTGGGTGTTCCTAACTCAGCCCGGTGCTGTGCTCGCCCTTGCTATGCTCGCCCTCTCTTCACTTGGGAACCTTCTAGATTCTCCTCGGCTAGCAGCAGGCCCCTGGGCCTCACCTGCCAGCATCCCCCATCATCCTCCAAAATGGTAGGATCTGGAGTAAGAGGTTTTGCAGACCCAAGTGGGACTGGGAGGTCTCTCAGCTGAGAATGAGGAGCCCGGCTGGCTCGGAGCTTCTTGCAGAGGTAGGAAGAGGGAGAAGCTGAGGAGGGAGGGGCGGGCAGGAGGAGCCCCGGAGGGCAAGGCGGGGAGGGGGCCAGGGGCTCACAGACTCCCTCATTCCAGGGTGGGAGGGCTTGGCGTGTTCCTACAGGCCCTCGGAGTTCTCACTCTGCGGGGCATCCACACAGGCCTTGCCCATGGATGGGGTGGCACTCTCACTTCCCAGGGCATCCACAAAGGCCATGGATGATCCGTGTCCTCACTCCCTGGTGATCTCCACAGCCCCGCCCCTGGACAATCGGTGCCCCAGGTCCGGCACCTGCTCGTTTCCCCCTATGGGGTTGAGGGAGCCTGTGTGGCTCTCCTCTGTTGTCTGGGAAGGTTCCCTCGTGGGCCTAAGACCCAGCATGACCAGGTGACGTGCCCTCTGCCAGAAGGAGACCCGCAGGACCCAGGATCACGGCTGTTCTCCTGGGGTCACGGTCCTTCCACTGTGGTGAGGCAGACACAGGAGGCCCTCGAGCCCTGTGGGCCCCACAGCCCTGTCTGATCCTGCCGGCTTTCCAGGCCACTCTGTGAAAAACTAAGAAGTCACCAACATGGCCCACGGTTTCTGCCCGGGTACCACTGAAGAGGGCAGCAGACGCCGCGTGGGGGAGCTAGTCGGGTTTCTAGGCTGGTCATCTCATCTGCGTGGTGAGCTGGCCGGCCAGGGCCCTGCCCCTCTGTGCAGTTAAAGTTGCCACCTCCAGCATGAGGGTCTGCATCTGACAGCGAGTGAGGGACAGCAAAGCCTGTCCAGCATCTGTCCCGTGGCTGCACTGAGCCCCAGGAGTGGGGATCTGTGGGACTCTCCATGTAGGGCTGGGTCTGCAGTGCTCCGGGACAGAGTCCTGATGCCCTCAGTACCAGGGCTGCTAGGGTTGGTGCTGCAGGGTGTGGCCCAAAGTCGTGAGTGCCAGTGACAGAGCGGGGGGGAGGGCTGCTCTCATGGGAGAGGATTTGTGGAGGCGTAGCAAGGACGACTGTGCCAGTGGGCTTCGCAGGTGTGACCTGCCTCTGGCCAGAGGGCAAACTGTGATCAGTGTTCCCTTCACTCTCCTCTCTGCTACTGTAGACCCAGACTTTAGCCAGACACGCGACTGCCAAGTGAAGGGCCACATTTCTAGCCTCTCTTGCCGCTAAGAGTGGCTGTGATGCTAAGCTCCGACCCAGAGGATGACAGTGGGCATGATATCAGCAGCAGCCCCGTTCTTGTCTCCCTCCTGCCTTGCAACTGGGCACGGTGAAGCCTCCTCTGGATATGAGGGCTGGACACCCCCTGGGAAGGTCGGACTCCCCCTGGAGAGGGCTGAACCTCCCCAGGGCGTGTTGGCACACAACTCCCTGCAGGCCAGAGTCATGTTTCAGCTCTGTGCACCACGCGGCTGCTTCTCCATGGTGCCGGGGCCCTGGAGCAGCAGCCAAGATGACAGGTGACAGTGGGGTGGCCATGTGCCGATAAAGCTTTATTATAGGGATGGGCGGAGGCCGGGTCGCACCTTGCTGACCCCCCACTGTGGACGTTAGAGCCAAGGTGCCCTGGCTCCTGGACAGCAGAGCCGGGCCCCACCCACCAGGGCAACTGGCTTGCAGGAAGACAGACACGGCCTCCGCTGGCTCGGCCTCTCTTTATTTGGTCTCTGCTGCAGCAGTCATGTCCTCTCTGAGACACGGCCTATGGGTTGGCCTCTGGAGCCACGGCAGCCATCCATGTTCCCCTCCTACCAGACCCTGAAAAGCCGTGTTCTGATGTTCAACTTAGGTCAGGACCCGAGAGGCCAGGTGGACAGCGAGGGCAGCTGGTGGGGAGACCCCGCCCAGAGGACGGAGACAGGGCAGCCTCACATGGTGGAGACAGGGCAGCCTCACACAGTGGAGGCAGGGCAGCCTCCACGAGGCTGTGGATGGGCGGAAGCACATGCAGAGGCGGCGCCAGCCCGGCAGTCGGGACAGGAGATACCGTAGAAAAGGCACGTGTTTCAGAGTTGCCGTCCTTGTCCTGAGACCCCTCCTGTGGGCACAGCTGCCTATCCCCGGAGGGGCCGTGCTCCCAACGCAGTGGCCAATGGCCCGGTCTCCTGGCCTCTGCAGTCCAGGGTCTAGAGCTCAGCCGTGACACACCGGGCACCGCCCGGGTTGCCCAGGGTTCATGGAGCAGGTGCAGAGGGCCCTGCGGGCTCGCCTGGCCCCTCCCAAGGTCCTCGGGGCCTGCCTCACACAAAGGCCAGGGTGAGTGGTCAGTGCCGCCCAGGCTTGATCCAGTTTCTGATCATCCACTTCTGCCCAGAACAGCGCTGCACCACTAGCCGCAGCCCAAAATTGGCATCTTTGGACATTTCTACTTCCAGGCACCGGCCCGTGTCCCGGCTCACAATGGGACCACTCTGTGGGGATAGGGAAACTGAGTCAGCTTCCTGAAGGGGCATCCCCAAAAGGGGAGAGACCCCAGGCCCCAACCTGGTCATGGCACTGCTGGCCTTCAGGACGGGGGGTCCCCATCTTAACTCCGTCTTCCACCCTCTCCTCCTCCCCTGGTCCTCCCTCCCTCGGTCCTCCCTCCCCCTCCATTCTTCCTTGGTCCGCTATCCTCTTCTGACCCTGGGGATGGGCTTCCCCCCCCCAGGGTGCCTTCCTGGGGTCCCTCGGTCATCTCTGCAGCTATGGAGTCCCCTGAACATCGATGACCCTGGCCCAAGCCAGGCGCCCCAGGAAGCCGACCCACCAGTCCCCCATGCTGGCCTCGCCGTCCCCACCCCACCCCTGCCCCTAGAGGACTGCGCTGAGCACCTGGCCACAGCCAAGCCCGGCCTGCGGCCCCTCCCAGAGCTAGAGGGCCCCGCCGTTCCTGGGGCAGGGCCTCTGCCTGGCCTGTGTTGGTCTGTACAGGGTCCCCTGGAGGAGAGAATGGGCTGGGGTGGGATGGAGTCTGGGGTGCCTAGAAGACCTGCGGCCTTGACCTTGACCCAGGAGCTGGTGCGGTGAGATGTCAGCGGGAAGCAGGGCTGGCGGGATGGGGACAGGGCAGGGTGGGTGGGGGACGGGGACCGGGTGGGGTGAAATGGGGGCAGGGTGGGGTGGGGTGGGGTGAGATTTGGGGCGGGGCAGGTGGGATGGGGGTACAGGCTTGGGGCTTGGCGACTGGCCAGGTGTGGGATTTGACCTCATGAACAAGATGGACCCCAGAGGGCTTCACTGCAGAGAGTGCACAGACGGGGGGACTTTGGCCACACCGGCAGGCCGCAAGGCACAGAGAGAGAGAGGTGGGATTGCATGTCCTGTAAAGATGTCCTTGTCTACTGGGCTCGGTGGCTCAGCCTGTAATCCCGCGCCTTGGGAGGCTGAGGTGAGTGAACTGCCTGAGCCCGTGGGTTTGCGACCCCCCTGGGCAACTTGGCGAGACCTCATCTCTACAATAAATCAAAAACTAGCCGGGCATGGTAGCGTGCGCCTGTAGGCGCAAGAATTGCCGGAGCCCAGCAGGTCGAGGCTGTGGTGGCTGGGAGTGGCCACTGCACTCCAGTCTGGGCGACAGAGTGAGACTCCAACTCAAAAAAAAAAAGATGTCTTTGTCGAGCCCCGAGGATCTACCCATGTAGCCTTGGCTGAAAATGGGACCTCGCAGATATCCTTAGTCAAAATGAGGCCACACAGGAGCCCTGCCCCGATCCTGCACCGGGGGCTTCAGAGAAGAGGGAGGCTTGGGGATGTAGCCACAAGCTCAGGGTCCCTGAGGGCTGCGTCAACACAGAGGCAGGAGAGGCAGTAGGGGCCCTCCCTGGAGCCTACAGAGGAGCCAGCCCGACACCAGGAGGTGGATCCAGCCTCCCTCCCAGCCTCCAGAAGAGCCAGCTCCTGGACCCTGACACTCAGAGGCAGATCCATTCTCGAGGACAGGGAGAGAGAGTCCTGTTGTTTCAAGCCCTCAGCCTGGGGTCTTCTGCCTCATCAGCCCTGGATGCTGTGCTCAAGGGTTTTCAGGACCACTGTCCTGGTCCTGTGCAGATGACTTGGCAGAGGACAGCGGGGGATCGGGAGACCTCCGCAAGGGGACAGGCAGGCAGGTGGTAGGCATGTCACTCTGATGTGGATGGGGGCAGAGGAGGAATTGTGGATCCCATGGGGACAGGAGATCGGGACACTCGGGCACCCGTGTCTAGACAGATGAGAATGAAAATCGGAACCAAGTCCAGGGTGGATATGGGCGGGTGTGGGGAGGGAGGTTCCGAGCAGGGAGGGCAGGAAGGCGCCGTGAATACCTGGGGGCTCAGGCAGGTGGGAATCAGGGGTGTCTGCCGGAGGGTGGGAGGGGGGCCAGGCTCCAGACAGCTGGGCGAGGGCACAGGAGTGGGGGTGCTCTCCAGGAAGAGCCCTCCAGCCCTGTATTGATCCTTGGACCGCTTGATGGGAGCCCAAGTCCCGGAGAGGACGTCCCGTCTCCCCCGCCAGGCAGGAGAATCACCCACTGAGGCCCAGATCCTCCCTCCTCTCCCCTGGAGGCTGGAGCGTGGGTGGTCGAGGCTGAACAGCGCAGGGACCTGGGGGGCGGCTGCAGGGCTGTGACCAGACTGTCCAGTTCAGCCCTCTCAGCTGTGTGACACTGAGCTGGTCACCTGACCTCTCTGGCTGTGTCCACCCACCACCACCCCAGACTCCCACCCACTGGCGGGCCCTGGTGTGTGGGTCCATGGTCTCGAGGCCCTCCCACCCTAACTGACCTGGGTGAAGTCCCACAGCCGCTGCGTGGGCCGCACCACATCCTCGCACTTCTTCAGGGTGGGCGTGCGCCCACGGCCGTCATCCACCAGACATTTGGAGTCGGGCAGGAAGGCCGTGGAGCCCAGCGGCCCCAGCTGCAGCAGGCCATGGGCACTGTACCGCACTAGCTGTGGACAGGAAAGCCCAGTGAACGGTGGTGTCTGGGCTGGGGGCGCCAAGCCCAGCCCCTGGCTCTCCCCTGCCTACCCTCCAGCAGGAGGCATGGGCCACTGGAAACTGGCTGCGCACACGAGCCCTGGGGGGGCTGCATAGGAGCCGCCCACCCCGGAACAGCATCGCAGATAGGAGGTGATCCCTGCAGGGCCCAGTTGGGCTGGAAGGCTCTGGGTGGAGAGTGTCACCAGGCCTGGGCCACCAGCCTGGTCCCCAGTGTCAGCTTTTGGGAGGCGGGTCAGGTGGGCACCCAGGGTGGGCCTGGGCTGGAGAGGCCGGGCCCAGCAGCAGGTAGGAGCGGCCCCTCGTGTGGGCCACCTGTTGGGACTGGGCTGTCGGGAGGCCCGCCCGGATCACGCTCCGAGGGTGGCTCTCGAGACCCCAGGACCCAAGCTGGAGGTCGAGGTCCAGGGGCCCAGCAGTGGCCAAGGTCCTGGCCTCTCTGGCCTCAGAACGTTCTGGAATGGAGAGGAACCCCCCCCTACCTCACCCCCCATTCAGGGACACGGTCCCAGAGCTGAAGGTGCGGTTCCCCAACATGACCGGGACTCCCTCCCAACAAGGTGTGGGCCTGTGTGCTCCCTCACTGAATTTTTGGGGAGCACCTGAACACTAGGGGCGAGGTCAGAGCAGGTGGCAGTCATAAGCCTCCTTATTCTCTTGCTCTGAGACCCAGCACCAGGGGTGAGAAAGTCCACGTGGCCTGGGTGGGGGTGTAAGTGGGGGAACTTGAGTGGGGGGCGGGGCCTTGTGGGGAGGAGCCTGTGTGGGAGGGGCCTGCATGGGGAAGGGCCTGCATAGTGGAGGTGCCAGTCTGGGAGGCAGCGTCTATGGGGTGGGGCCTGCGTGTGAGAGGGTCCTGTGCTTGAGGGACCTGCTTGAGGCGGGGCCTTGTGTGGGTGGGGCCTGTGTGAGGAAGGGCTGTATGGAGGAGGTAACGGCAGGGGGAGGGGCCTAAGTGTGGGAGGGACCTGAGTGGCGGAGGGGCCCAACTGGGGGAGGGGCCTCATGGGAAGGTGTTGGGCCCCCTCCGGCCCTGCCCCTGAGCTCCAGCTGGTGCCGGTACACCCTGCTGGCCAGGGTGGTGGGCAAGAGGACCCTCCTCTGTTGGGTGGCCCCAGGGCATGCTGGGAGGAGCGGTCCTGCTTTCACCACAGATTGGTGAGCAAGTCAGGCTGCAGATGCGGCGGGCCTTGCCGTTTGGGGGCTGGTGTCACTGCCACACCATGTGTTATCTTGAGATTCGGTGGTGGCAGGAGGCATGTGGCTCCCACCTGGAGAGTCCTAGCCACACCCGGATGTCAGACAGCAGCTCAGAGCTGGGAGCAGTGTCCTGTGGCTTTGAGCCAGCTCCCAGCCTGTGTCCGCTATCGTGGCATCCCAGGAGACGACCCTTCCTGGCATGGGGCTTGGGGCCTCCACCTCTCTCGCCTCCCACAGGCTGGCCAAACATACTCGAGTTGTCTTGCAAAGGGGAAGCTACAGTGGCATGTCCTGCTGGACTGTCTCCCCATGGGGCTCGTCACGCCGGCCTCGCCTCTCCCACCTCCATCTGCCTCCCCATTTCCAGCAGGGAGGCTGTTTCCACTGCCACCCTAGTGTCCTCTAGAGGCAGAGGGCTCACCCCGGGCACCACGTTGGGGCCCTCGGCAGCCCACACCTCCCAGCCACTCTGACACCTGTCCTTGAGCACCCGAGGCCAGTCCTGATGCGGCCCCTGCTTGCTTGGGCCAGCTTGGGCGGCTCCTACGTTCTCCCATGGGGCACCAGAGCCCAGCAGGTGTGGCCTCCTGCCTGGGCTGTGACAGACTGGCATAGCAGAGGACCATCACCTGTGTCCTGCCAGGCCCGGCAGACTCAACTTCCTCAGGGGATCCCTGTCTTGGTGGGTGATTCTGTTTTCTCCCTCAGTCGGAGGCCACTGCACCTCAGAGCTGCTGGGAGGGGGCGCAGCCTAGCACCCCAGCTCTTGTCACAGGCCAACCCCTGTGGCTGCAATGACCCATGGGATCTTCCCTCTGAGACCTGCCAGGTGCTGGAGCTGAGGGCACTAGGCAGGGCTGGGCCGGCCCCCATGGAACCTTGTGGGCGCTTAGGTCTGTGGGTGGAGTCAGAGAGGCCCAGCTTGTCCTGGGAGAGCAGGAGTCTGGGCTTGACCTAAATAGCGCCCGGTGTGGACAGGACCTCCTTTCCTGGAACTAGAGTCACCTGGGCTCCAGCACCCCTCCCTGGGTCTGGGCCCCGTGTCTCGTGATTCCCAGGTGCGGCTAGGATGCAGGTCCCCTGGTGCGGCATGGAGGACACGAGTGCTGTGTGATACCAGCAGTATCCTCGGATCAGCCTATACCATGATGTGGTTTCTACCTGAATCCCCATGCTGGCCCTGAGAGGTAAGTGCCACGATGATCCCATTTGATTGACTGGTAACTGAGGCACAGGGCATTCATTGATTTGCCCAAGGCCCATGTGGCCCAAAGGCTCTGCTCTTGAGCATCTGCGCTGAGCTCCTCCTGGGCGTGTGATGGGAGGCCTGTCGAGGGTCTCCAGGCTGCTCCGAACCCTGAGCTCAAAGGATGCCCCGTCGACCTATCTTGTGCCCATCTCCCTGGCCCACCCGCATCTGTCCTGCCTCCTGTCCTGCACCCTGTCCTGTGCCCTGGGCCTCCTACCTGGGAGGACATGCCATGGCAGGGGTAGAGAATGGCCCGGTCGTCGTCCTCTGCGCCCTGGTCCAGGCAGTAGCCACTGGCCTTGCTGTTTCTCACCTGCAACGGGATGTGGTGGAAGCCCAGGGTCATGTGGGGGGCCGGGGAGGGCCCTGGGGAGCCCTGCCCACCTGCGATCTGCAGCCTCGGCCCCAGGAGAGGCGTAAACCTGATGCCGGGGGGTGGGGCTCGGGGCCTGCCTTCGGGCAGAGGGATGAGGGGAGGGAGAGATGCGGGTGCTCTGACTGGGGGGCCTCCCGGGAGGGGTGGCCGTGTCTGTTACTGATGGAGACACGGACAGACGTGTCTCATGTCTGGGTGGAGACCTGGTCATCCCTCGGGGAGGGAAGCGCCAGCGTGGCCATGGAGAGGACGTGTGCCCTTCTCCTGCATCTGTGCCCGCAGCTCCACAACTCTGCGGTATCCCCAGGAGAAGAGACAGCTCCCCAGCCTGGGAGCTGCCTGAGCTTCTCTGACTGGGAAACATAGTGGCGAGGACCATGCGCTGGCTCCGCGTCTCACACCCTCCATGTGTGGGTCTGGGAGCCCTGAAGCCCGTGAGGACAGGCCTGGCCAGCCCGCCAGAGGATGGGTTGTGGCCAGCTGACCTTCAACAGCAGAGTGGCCCAGTTAGGTCGGACCAGCCTGCCAGAACCACGGGCCTGCCCGATGCCCAGGGATCATGTGGTCCTTGGTGCCGCCTGCTGCCAGCCACTGTGCATCAGGGCTGCCACGTGACCCGTGCCACCCCAGGAGGCAGCACTGGTGTGAACTCTCCAGTGGGTGGGCATGGCTTGATGGGTGAACCAAGTGCATGGGGTGGATTCACAGGGAGGCTGAGGTCACAGGAAGGCTGGAGGCAGCAGTCGTGTCACATCGTACATGTGGGCACTGGTGGGGCCACGTGGGTCTTTGTGCTGCTGGTATGCAGTGCTGGAGTATGTGTGTGCACATACGTGTGAGTACATATATGCACACATTGAATGCATATAGGAACATGACTGTGTCTTCATGGATGTATTCGTGCACATCTCTGTGTATGTGTACACATGTCCATGTGTCACTTTGTCTTGATAAATGATTGTATGTTCACCTGTGCACAGGTGGATGAAAATATATGTCTGTGTGGGGAGAGCTCTGTGTATGCGTATGAGCAAAACCATGTGCAAATGTGTACTGTTATATTTGTGTGCACTTACACGTGTATGTGTGTACATGCTTTAACATATGCTTGCATGTATTTATGCACATGTATGCATCTCTATGCACATGTAAGTGAATGTATGCATGTGCACATATGCCAGAGAATGCATGTGTGTATGTATGTGCATGTGAAGGGATACATGTGCATACACACCATGCCAGTGTACACATACCCACATATGTATTGTATATGTGTATAAGCTGAAGGCATGCACATATGTTCAAATGTGAACGTGTGTACATGCACACACATGAAAATGAGCACACATATGAAAGGCAATGTGTATACATGTGCACGACACGCACGTCTGTATGCATCCGTGCATGTGGAAATATATGCATGTTTATGGAAATATATGAGTGTGTGTGCACACATCTCTGTATTTGCTTGTGTGTGTGTTTGTATGTCTGTACACATGCATGTTCCTGTGGGCTTGTGCATGGGTGCTGCCTGTGTGCCTGTGAATGCACCTCAGCATCTGGATGTCCGAGGACACACGTGCACAAGTGAAGGCGCGCAGGGCGGGTCTGCCTGGCCGAGGGCTGCGTGGTGGAGGCGGTACCTCTCCGTACGTGAGGGTGTCGTTGTAGGTCCTCATCTCTGGGTACACGTTCTCCAGATACCACTTGAAGCTGCGACACTTCAGCCTCTGGCGCAGGGCCAGCCTCTCGGACACGTCCCCGAAGTCCACCCCTGGGTTCTGCAGGCAGGAGCAGTGGAATGGTGCATGAGTGTCACTGTCCCCCTGACCCAGGGCCCTGGTCATGGGGGTGGGCCCCTGGGGCACAGGGCCCATTGGGACTCAGGCCTCCTCTGGGCCTCCCAGGATCCACAGAGGGTTTGGGCAGCCGCTTCTGGTGAGAAGGGTCCTGTGTGTGCCACCCGGCCAGTCCCCACCTGGGGCCCTGAATGCCCCAGGTGACCCTTGAGTCCTGGCACCTCCTGCTGGGTGGGACTGTCCCTGTCCACCTGGCCTTGGGCTACCCAGATAGTCTAAGCCACATGAGATGTGTGACCCCGCTGTGCCCTTCCATGACACAGCAGCTGGCTTCCCGAATCCCCTGAGTCCTGCTGCAGGACACCACAAAGGCTTTGCCTGGGACACTGGTTCTGAAATGCCCTGAGCATGGGAGGAGGAGGGGAGGCCCAGGTGGCCAGGCCCACGTGGAGCTCCCAGCTCAGCAGGTGCGGGCGGTCCCAGGATCTGCGCTGCAGCTGACATGATGCCACTGGCCCAGGAACTCCCTCTGAGGACTAGCGCCCTGGACTGTGGCACTTGCCTCGGGCTCTCAAGGGAGGGACAGCACTGGGCTTGTGGGATGGCATGGTTGTTGTGTGTCACCTGCAGAAGGGGGGCTGAGGAATGTTTCAGGGTGGGGCCCTGGCCCAGGTGACCCTTGGGGTGGTGAGGTGCCCATCATGGTGATGAGGAGTCCATTGTGGTCATGAGGCGACTATCATGGTGGTCCAGTGTTGGTTGTGGTCATGAGGTGACCGCTGTGGCGGTGAGGTGACCATTTTGTAGTGAGATACCTGTCACGGTGGTGAGGATGCTGTCTTGATGGTGAGGTGGCCGCCGGGGTAACAGGGCAGTGGGTTGCCAGCGTGGCTCACCTCACTGGCCCTACCCATTGGCAGCTGCCATCAGCTAAGATAAAAATAACTGCACAGCTGGGCTCGGTGGCTCAGCC